CTTGCCTGTGTTTATATTATCTTGATAAAAGGAAACTATTTCCATGTTGTTTTGTTTGGATTTGCCACAATCTGAATAAAATAAACAGCAAAGCTGTTGCTTTCTATGGGTTTTTTCATGCTACTGTTAAGCCGACAGCTCGAAAGTCAGTGGTTATAAACATGTGGCTTGCCCCTCTCAAGGGAAATGTGCAATGCAAAGTGGCAGAAAGTTGCAATGTAGTGCCAGTAGTCTGGCTGCAGCTCATTTCTACCAGTCAGAACAATGAATTTAAGTACATACAGTCAGTAACTGCAGGGTGTTTTCCTCTTTTTCCCCCTGGATGAACTGTGCTATTGCTGCTGTAAGGAACTTTTCACGTAACCATGAACCAGAGCTGTTTGCACTTATAAAAAACTTTGGGGTAGGAAGGGATAATTGTTTTCTAAAATCACAGAGCGTGAACATAGCAATCTTCCTGAAGTCTTTGTTGAACTATTTCTGTAATTTTGGGGCTGGAACACAGGAATAGGGAAGAATAAAGAAAGTAAACATTAAATAAGTATAGTTATAAGCAGAATTGCAGTTTGGGGTTTGTTTATAGCAGGCTTATTTGAACATTTATTTGAATGCCTCAAGTTAATATTTTAAAGTTTTAAAATCCCCTTTTAAAAAAGTGTTAAATTTTGAATGCATTTTAATGCTGTAAATGTAATTGAGTAAATCTTATGGTCCGTGAACCTCCCTTATGCTTTAGAATACGTATCTAGGATCTCTAAACATTGGCAATAATATATTACTTTATCACATCTTAATGAGTCTAGTTATGTCTAAAATATATATATTTCTATTTAATGCTTTTGTTAAGCAGTATTTTTTTCAGGAGAGAAACAATCTTGCAGACCAAACAAAGACTTTATCTAATTATTTTGACATTTTCATTCTTAATTGGCACTTAAAAGGATCGTTAATATCTTCTGAGGACTAGCTGAGCCTTTATGCCCCTAGATCTTCAATTTAAAAATGGATAATTTAAAATCCATTTCACAGACTAAATACCTTGAAAATATTATATCTGAGTTGCCCTGAAGTTGAGTGGAGATAGTTGGGGTTTTTTTAAGCCAAAACATAGCAGTGACAGGAAAAGTGGTATTGAGATTCAAATATTGAAAGTGCCTCAAAAAAGCATTCCAAAAACATATTTGTTCATTTGAAAATTTAACTGACTTCCTAGTGAAAAAAGAAGTCATAATGAATCAAACTTCTTAGACATGATTATTTAAATAATAATTTTTCCATATTTCCCAGTGATGTACTTAATAATATTTAGAGTGTGTCTTCCCTCGAAATATACAGTAGAACTATCTTAGAAGTAGAAATGTTGTCTAAATTTTAACTAGTTATGCTGGATTGCAAGTTTCCTTTAACACTGGCATGAATAAACGTATATAATATCAAAGAATGTCAGTAAAGTTTTTGGCTAGTAAAAAAAGATGATTTTTATATCTCTGTGGAGATAAACTATCCTGAAGATCTTGAAATGAGCAATTTATAAAGCTGTTATGCTATGTTCTTGGTGTTACTTATTTGCAAAATTGCAGATTTAACATAAGGTATGCATTTAAATATTTTCCTTTTGTTTCCAAGGCAGAATCTGGGAAACTGTCCCCCACTGCTAACTGCAGGAATTTGTTGCTCTCTGGAGCTGCTGGTATGGAAGAAGTTATGTACCTAAATGCTCAGGTGCTCCACTCTTAAGAATATCAATATGATCAGTCAAAATCAGAGTTCTCAAAATTGTCTTCACAGTAAGCTTACACAACCTTATTAATGTGAACAGAGTTATGTTCCCAAAGAGGACACTGTACATGTATTTGAAATGTTATGATTCACCACAAAATAGAAGATGGTTATTCAGCTGCAAGTGACTTAGGTCAGAAAAAATGGGCAAGTACTTGGTTCTTTTTAATAAAAACCAAGACTGACTTGGTTTAATCTTTTGCCTTAGTAAATGAAAAAAATATTTTTGAATCCTTGCTGCATAGTCTGTGTATACTGTGTTTGACTAAGATGGTACCGTTCAGTTTACCTTTTTAGCAGGTTTCTCAGAAATCATAGAATCATAGACTGGTTTGGGTTGGAAGGGACCTTCAAGATCATCTAATTCCAACCTCTCTGCCATAGACAGAGACAAAAGCCTCATCCAACCTGGCCTTGAAATATGTTAGTACATTAGAAGGACGTATGATGGGAGGCCATATACTAGGGATGGGCATTTGGATTTGTGAGCATTAATCACCAGATGTCAAACCAGAGGTTTGAGTTGCCCTAGTAAGTGGAAGTCCTAACAGTTCATCGTTTGAGTTCTCAAATCTGTTAACTCCCAGCAGGGGACCTCATAAAAGCTATCATATTATTCATAGTCATAGAGATTGTCCAGAACAAGAAGAGGCTCTCAATTATTTCTGAGCAACGTTGTCCGTTTAAACTGAAGAATTAAGTGGCACTTGTCTCTTCTTGTCACTTGTCATACAAACCTGGATCTAATTTATATGAAACAGAGAAATATTTTAGATACTTGTGCAGTCTGTCTTGGAACTGAAATTTGGGGGAGTGTATAGAGGAGCGAGAGTTTGTATAATCTAGAAAAATTTAAGAAAATATAAAACAGTTTTGTGTTTTGGTCTGTTAAAACTAGAGCACATTTTGTTTTCTAATCTCTGTGCCCATAGCTTCACAGCCGAAGGAAAGCAGTAATTAGGCTGTATTTCCCATAAAGTCATGAGAGTGTGCTGAAAAAGCACTAGAATCGGCAAATCTGCCATTGTCTTAGTAGGCTCATACTGGGACAGTTTGAATTTTAAATGAGTCTGTTATACAAAAAAAGAGAATCCAGGTCAGTCCTTATGTATAATGGATTTACCATACCAGCAGAAATAAAGGTATTTAAAGCTTACTTTTCACAGTTGAATGGGTAACTATAATACTACTGCTCTGATGAGTGTTAACAAATAAACCAATCGCTTGTCCTGCTTCTCCACCCTTGGTGAACACCTGACACCAACATGAAATGTACTGAGAGGGTAAGTAGAAAGCTGCCTTTTTGTTATTACTTCTTAAGGTGTATTGTAGTCTTATCCAACTTGCAGTTACGCAAATGATGGTGTTTGACCACGGTAGTTAAGCTTTTAACTATTAGCTGCATGTGTACAAGATGAATGGGGTCTGCATGTCATATCACTTTGTAAACATCTGTACAATTTTTATGCTGATATATTAAATCATTATCCTTCTTAAATGTTTTCTTGTTTGTCTGTGTTTAAATGAAATCCCCAGCAACAATGGTAACAACTTTGTATGTTTACCTACTTAATCATCTCATTTTCGAAGTATGTTCAGCTGTTTTCTGGACATGCTGCAAAGGCTGTATAGCTGCTTGTAGGCCAGGATGCTGGCATAGTACACATTCTGAAATGCAGCATCTCTTTGTAGAGAACAGCTGGAGTGCTGTTTCTATAGAAATGAGCTTTGCTAGCATTTGTCAGAAGTGCTTACATAAAGAACTCTGTCCTGAGCAATGATGAGTGAGCTTTCTAGTCCTGGCATTGAGCATGAAACAGAGCATTTGTTTTTTGGGTGGTAAAATTACGCACTGTTTAAGTTTTCATATGGACTCTGCATATAACCTGTTTTAAAGAACGCTGGAGATGTCCTAATTACCGGATCACATATTTTGTAGTGCATAATGTTCATCTAAGAGGTAGTGGTTTTAATTTTTGTTGAAAATCGTAGGTAGAAAAGAAGCTGCTCTTAAAAATTTGTTGCATATGTATCCTGGAGAGTTGAACAGACTAACTGAACTCTGAAGACTGAAAATGTAGATCTGTTTATCAGGGTCTGATAAAATCCAGTACTGCTTTGTTGTTCAAAAATTGTTATTACTATTTGCATGTGATAGGAATGAGTCTCAGCATTTTATACCTAACTAGCTCCATATGTCATAGAGGAAATAGGCTGTTTTGCATAGGACATGTAAACTGGTCGTTGTGTATTTTGTTCTGTTGGCTTTCTCTTCCTCATTCAATTAAAACCTTTTGTTGGATATTTTAATACATTACATAAATGACCTGTCTAGAGGGAATTCTGTCAAAAGTATGCATTGCTCTTTTTCACTGTTTCATCACAGTACTTTTAACCTGATCTGGAACAGCTGATTGTATATGATTTGAAAGAAGCCTTTTGAGAAATCATCTTTTGTTGTCTGTTTTGCAGGCAGTGTTTCTGGCTCTTGGATAGTGACCAGCTAGCTTTTTTTTTTGTTTCGTTTTTAGCAGTGTGTAAGTGAATGGAAAACATTAGCTCATGTCAGATAAAAATTTTCAGTTACTGCAGACCTAGATTTGAATCAAAGCACATCAAGTTGAAAGACTCTATAACCAGTACTGGTCCCTTGAGCCTTCCAGGCTGTTCTTGTCCTTTTTAAGTTAGTGCATGTCCTGTAGTGGGAACAAAAATTATTTACCATTCAGTTTCTCCCCAGCATAACCAGTTATCTTTGGATTGGTTTTAAATCTTTCCTGTAAACTTATTATTTAGCAGTGCAGGAAGAATTTAATTGGCTTTTTGCAGTTTTTTTCCCCACTGCAGTAGCAAGAGTTAACAGAATTCTAAGATGCAGTGCAGGAACTGCTTCTCTCTCATTTGTGGTTTAAGAAAAGGGGGTGGTATTCAGCTCTTGAAAGGACTTTAATGAATACTGTTTGGTGTTTTTGAAAGCTAATAGTCAGAGGAGAGCAACAGAAACAGCCTTGGAGCTTTTAGGGTAAAGCGATCAGCTTTTTTCTTGATTGAGTTGATTGTTTCACCACTTTTTATCTCAAGATTTTTCATGTCTATTGCCTTTTGTTTATATTCAAGTGACATACCGTTAAAGAAGCCTTTTTTATGTGAATGCAATGCTTTCTCCCCCCCTTCTGTAGAAAATCTGCTTGCCACAGACGGGCAGAGCATGTGTTTCTCTTGTCTTGGTTGGGTGCACAAATCTTCTTTTATGTGTGCTGCTTCTTACCCTGTTGCCTAGACGATCACTGGCTTTCACTAAGGATGTCTGGTTCTCGTAAAGAGTTTGACGTGAAGCAGATTTTAAAAATCAAATGGAGGTGGTTTGGTCATCAGGCATCAGCCCCTAATTCTGCAATTGAAAACCACCAGGGAGACTTCTGGAATAGAGGACAAAATGTAACAACTGCTGGCACTAAGTTCTTAGAATCAGGTAACCTACCTTTAACATCAGTTGGTTACAGAAGGTCCAGCCAACAGAATTTCCAGAATTCACCTCTTTGGCCAATGGCATCCACATCAGAAATCCCTGCATTTGAATTCTCAGCAGAAGATTGTGAAGGTGCACGTTGGCTTGACAGACAAGAAACAGATGATAGAGCAAGTGAAGAAGAAAATGAATCGGACAGCAGTTCCTGCAGGTTAATTATTACTTTCCTATTGTGAGAAATGTGTTTTCATTTCATCTTTAGAGATAGTATGCATATATAGGCTAACCTTTAGTCTAGATTAAAATGCTTTAGAAACCTAGCAGCTGCTGTGCATGAGAAATAGAAAATTATTTATAATCAGGGTTCTGTGTGTTTATGAGGACCTTTTTAAAAGGCAACTTCAGTCAATGTGAATAAATAAAGCGCAAATGTGGGTGCAGTCACTTGTGTTTTAAATAGTATACCAAGTACATGCTGCTATGAGCAAGGTAATGTCCATTACATGGTAATGTTACAGGATGCTTTCTAAATTATTTTAAAGTGATGCTGTTTGTTTAGTTGTGCTGAAAATTAGTCCCATGCCAGTTAGGAAAAAACTATTAAAATCTAAGTTTCTTGTGACTCTTTTCTGATGTTTGCACATGTTTCTATAGATGAGGGAGATAAAACTGTAAAAAAATACTTAGACTATAAAACAGATTTTTTTTTTTCTTCTGCATATGCAACTTGAAGGAAAAAAATATTTAATCTATTGAAAGCCATCCAATTAGTGCTTTAAAGTGACTGCAGTTGTCTGTCCAGGTGTCTTAAGCTGTTATCTAGCTTAAAAAGAAACAGGTTATTTCATTGTGTCTATAAATAAAGATGTTTTGGTGTTCTCTTACATATCGTTACTAAAGATGAAACTGTAAAATTTGTTCTTACACAAAAGGTTTTTACCAGCTGTTGTAAATTAGACTAATCTTTCTTATTAAGTATCAGTTTAATTATTTTATATCCTTTCACTGTATAAGTCATCCGTTCTTCACTGCAAGTATTTTTCCTGTTTTGTAGTGCATAATAGTTCACATAACATTTCAAATAAATTTTACTATGTTTGCTTTCTCACTTTTAAGATAACTTTGCGATGATGTGGCATTTTAGAAAGTATGACTAAAAGGGTACACAATAAAGCCTATTAAGGAGAGATCAATCTAGTTATAACACTAAAAAGTGTTTTGCATTCCCTAGAAGAATTCATTTAGTGCAAAGGTGAAGTAGTCCATAATATAAACACTAACTATGGTTTACATAACCCTTAAAGATTGAAGGAAAGGAGGGAGGGTAAAAATGCTCATGAGTCAGCACAGTGTATTTGCTTTTATCACTGAATGGCAAAAGTACTTGAATTACAGGGAAAAGAAATCCTGCCTACCAATGCTTCATAACAGCGTTCTTATTGTGCTGCAACAACTATATAGCTATAACTAACATATCTCTGAAGAGGTCTTATTTTAAGTGATACTCAGGTATGCTTTTTTAAAATAGCTGTATTGCTGGGTAAAATACATGATACAGGTGTGATACCACCTTCCATTTCAGCAACATCTATTTGTGATTTGAATTTTTTTATGTACAGCATTACCCCAGAGGACATCCTCACCATAGCAAGGCAAGCGGTGTAGAAAAAAACATGTAATTTTAAGAGATAAATGTGTAGACTGAAATTACTGCAAATGTGTTCTTAATCGTAGGAGAATTTAGATATGACAAAACTAATTTGTAACTTTGTAGAACTGAAGAGCTGCAGATACTTATTTAGAGGGTGTGAGAAGCCTGTATAGCATTGGGGGTGGTTGGTTTGTTTGTTTTGCAGGCAGAGTTGTAAAATACAAGAAATGCATGTAGGATTTGAACTTAGTAGATTTGAAGTATCTTTTTAATTATGTGTTCAACCATCTAGCATCTAGAGTTATTTGTATTTCCTTTATTGTCTCGTAATTCTCACTAGTGTTTTACTTTCATGCTTTAAAATAAATATTTTAGATAAGTCTTGAGTTCAGTGTTAGTACAATTTAGTATGTAACAAATGGTAATAGAAGAACTTCTTTGTATTGTTATCTGTATCTCTCTTCTCATGGGGAGACTGTACTTAAACCATCTTTAAAGTAAAAAACTCCCTTTATTCCTCTGTAAGCTGTTGGGCAGTCTACATAAGTTTGTCTAACAGCTGAAATTTTTCTAATGTTAAGAACTTAATTAAATGGTCTTTTTTAGTCTAAAATATAGCTTATCTGTTGACTTGAGGAAAGAATAACACAAACCCGGTGCCTTCATCTATGTAGTTTTCAAAGGAATTTTTTCCCCATATGAAAACTCTCTTACCTCTGTTAGAAACAAGTTGCGTATATGAAAAAATCCTTTTAAAAACTTTTTGTAGAAGATACGGAGTTACCTTACTTCTTTGCTCCTCTGTAACTTACTGCCCAGTTACAAGCCCTAAAAGCATGAAGTGACAGAAGCAGCTTTACTGCTTTCTGTGTGTTAGCCATCCTTCCTCTTTGCCATGTCATATAGCACAGGGTAGAAAAGTATTTAGATTAGGTCTTTGACATTATGAAAGCTTTAGATCGTTATGTGATTCATTTAGAGGAGAGCTGCTGTAGAATTCATTTGTGATCAGTATGGAGCTTGGTGGCATAAGGGAAAAGCAAATTCTTAAGTTTAGTATGAGATCTTTGACAAAGGCTGCATCTGAGATACAAACAGATCGTTCAGATTCAGGGATCAGAGCTAGTGGGCTATAATGCTGTTCACATCATACTCCTCTGTGTTGTTTGTAACTAGATGAGCTTGAATTATTGTTTAGTGAGCCAGTGAGCTTTGAATTCTTTTGATGGTTTTTGTCTCTTATATTTCCTCTATTGCTGCTGTTTGTTAACTTTCCTACATTCCTGAGGCAATGGTCATCATTTTGGGTTTGTACACTTTTTAAAATTTTCCAACAGCTGTGCACATTCTTGTATAGCAAATTTAAGCCTATTAGCAATAGATTGGTTTTTCTTAACTTTTTGTGGGTGCCTTAGTAGAAGTTCACAGACCTTGAAGGCACAGTGGATAACAAGCTAAAAATACCTAGAGCATACCTAGTATGCAGAGCATTGTATCTAGTTCATTTCACCCAGGCGTGCATTAAAATATTGGAATTACTTTACTGTAGATTTAAGTATGGAAATGTATTCAAATAGAATATAAAATGCATATTTATATTTGAACATACAAGCAATACAAGCAATATTTCAGAATTCAGCAGTTGTGTCCGAACCTTGAGCAGTTTAGTAAGACATCCGTAACTGATTTTAGGACAAGGTCTGAAAGTACCGGATGGTAGCTATTCTGCAATGTTGCTCTGTATGAACGTTCTTGGTGTTACTTGCATTGTAACTTCCATCCTAAGTCTGCCCCCCTCAACAGTTTTCAATCTACAGAGACCTTTGATATGTTGTTTCTCTCACCTCAGTCTCACTAACCTTTGAGACTCTTTAAGTTCTTTAGGGCCTCCAATTGTGCTGTATATTTCTGTATATCTCCTATCTCAAAATAATGCAAACTGTCAAATAAAGACAGTTGATAGATTTCCTAATTGTGGCATGATAATATAATATGATATGTGAAATTAACTGAAAAACTTTTAAAAGAGCATTTTTTGCTAGATATATGTATGAATTAGACAAAATTAAGAAACTTAGTTGTTGAAAGACAGGTCATTTTACAGGGGAAATTCTCTAGCCTTCTTGTTTCTTTTCTTCCATGGTACTGCTAAAATTCTTTCATTTTCCTCTGTGCCTATTACATCCTCACTTGGGTTATGTCTATGCACATTTGAAAAGAGTTAGTGCAGCACAATTATATAGCATATATGAGGCAGTTTTAATCTAGTAATCTTGAACAGTAGATAGTGTAATGAAGATAAGGTAATGAGGCTTCAGCATGGACTTTGCAAAGCCACAGGGGATTCCAGCTATTTATTGAATGGAATGGTCTTCCGTGCAAGACAATCATATTTTTGCAGTGATTGTCACATGCTTTGACTACATTAAAGCTTGGTCAGGTATGTTTTTGTACTACTGCGCTTCTTGATCACAGAGCAGCGTAAATAGATGTATCATGAGGTAGTCTAAGTAGTTATGCTTTCCAGATAGCATGCATGTTACTGGTGACATTTCTGTGGATATGCAAATTCCTTGTACTAAATCTAAGACATGTCTTAGAAGTCTTGGATTCAGATGGGAAACATCAGTGCTATAATCAAAGGTCTAGCTGCAATGAAAAATGCCTACATTATTTCTTATCAAAATCAGGAACAAGTAAATATGCAGTAGTATTGTCTTAGCAGGCTGTGTATACGTGTCTTTGTCAGGCTACCATAGGTAACACTGGAGTCTGCGCTCCAGCTTCTCTTCCTTGTTATTACTCATGTCAATTAGATTAAGGCTAATGCAGATACATTTGTGTTTGCTTGAACCTGTGTCTTTTGATTGCAAGATTATACTTCTGGCTATTGTTGTTTCATTTGAATGAAAGCCATTTGGGTTGGTGTACAGTGCTGCCTGCAAATTTCAGTTGCATAGATTGAGTACTTGCTTTTAAGTTTGGTTTCCTGAAGGGACCAAATTTATGAAGTTGTGTTCTGCATCACCTCTGCCGTCTCCCCAGTAGCTTTAAAACCCATGGGCCATTTTCGTCGTCATGTGATGTTAGGCAGAAGTCTCAAAAGATAATATCACTCCTCGCAAATGGGAGCTAGTTGATGCAGAGAAACCCAGCTTACTGCCTTCACTGAAAAAGAGCAGAATTCATCTGTTGCAAAGCTGGCTGTGCAGCACAGCTTCCTGTTAGTCACATTACTTGCTGTTTCTTGCTTAGTGAGGCAATGCCTTACAGAGTTGAGGGGAGAGGAGAGAGCTAGACTTGAGGTGGTGGATGGAGTGGGAAAAGGAGACAGAGCACAGACATCATTTTGAAAAACAGAATTCATTTGTTGATTCTGTGAACTAGCCCAGTTGAGAAGACATAGTAGCAGCATATTTGGGGTATTTTCTCCATCAGGATTTTGCAGATAGAAATCCTGTTGTAATGCTGCCAAGCTCCTTTGTTGCTTCTAGCAAAAGAAATGTGACTATTTTAATGCAAGGAAATAAGCTGTTACTTGCTGCGAAAGGTTAGGAGAAACAAGGTGGTATTTACATATAAGGTCAGCATGTGTACTGCATGCCCTTGATCTAACCATGTCACTCTTATCTTGCAGTAAAACTACACTTTCGCAGATTCATAGGATTTCATATTATGTTGCAGAGAAGTTAACCTTTTGTAGAAGTATGGATGAGGTTACAGCTGAATTGGATGAACTGATTGTGACAATAGAACAGTTTTAAATACAGGTGAATTTATGGATAATTTACAGACATAATTTTTTCAGACAGAGTTTTACACAATTTTTCAGAAAAAAATATTTTAAAATTAATTTCAAATTTAAGATTTTGTTCTTCTCTCTGTTCCAAAATGAATAGTTTGAAATGCATATGCTTCATTTCTGTTTCAAAGACAAACATGGAGACATTTAATCTAAAAAATGTCTTCCTGAAAATAATTTAAAATGCATAAAATAAAATGCTTGAAAAAGATGTTTTGCAACCTTTGTTATAGCCAAGCATAGTACTTACTGGAATTCATAAGTTGTTAAGTAATATGTTTGATTTCTATAAAATAACCATTGTAACTTCTCCTTTAAATTAATCGCAATGCTTTACAATAATTAAAATAACAAATCCTGCTAACAGGACGAGATTGTGCTTCTCCCCCATAAAATTTGAAAAACACTGAGGCCTCTCTTTTGAGAGAGCTTAGTAAAAGTGGGAGGAAAGAAGGTGTGTATATGCTTTGGTTTGGTTTTATATTGAAAACTGTGCTGTGGCTTTGTTTAAGCTACAAAGCTACAACAGTGAAGCCTAAAACAACAGCAGGAGAGGGGTGAATTCAGCTCTCCAGTCGTCATCATCATCATATGTGCTTTTACTTTTGAAACTCATTTATCACCACTTTACTAGCCCAGTTAATTGCTTCATTGCTTTGCAATGGACTGTTTTATTGGGCAGAGCTCCTTATTCCAAACATCTTACCTGAAGAAATAAAATCCTTAAAAAATGAATGATTGTGTAGCATGGCTTATGCATAAGTTTTATTTCAAAAGGCATACTCTTACATCAGTTGTTTATTGGAGAACTTGAGGAAAGCTGGCATCTTCAGTATATGAATGTCTGTCACCAGGGTAGTAAAATGTATAGCTCGCATGGGAAAGACCTTGTCCTTAGAGTAGTTTATATTTTTACAATCATCCTAAAATTGTACCATACTTAACAAAAATTAGTCAGTGCTAGATAGGATCTTTTTTACATAAATGGGGAAAGAAAAGACAGGCCAAGAAAAGTGTCACTGAAGTTTAAGAATATAAAAAGAAAACACTACTGACTAATGTTCTAAGATACTTGTAATAATATTTCTACTTAATGTGTTAAAAACACAATCTTAAAGGAATATGCAAAAAGGATTCTTGGATACCCTGATCTCAGTCTTTAATGTAATTTTCTTAGTAGGATGTGTGAGGCATACAGAAGTAGCAATACCTCTAGCCTATGGGAGGGAAATTCATACTGAAACATAAATCTGGGTCAAGAGCGAAATCCCAAAAGGAGCAGAGCTGCCTTGATACTCAGGCCTGCAGGACCGCACAGCTGGGTGTTTGCTCTGAGCATGTGATTCACGGGTCAGAGTTAGATACCCAAGTTCCCTTTCTCTAGGTGGAAGGGATGTAGGCCAGGAATTTTGGAAGACCTTTCAGAATGACTGCTGGGAGAGAGAAAAGCAGGTTCTTCCCTTCCTCTGTTCTTTCCTTGCTTGTATATTCTCCCAAGCTGTCATGGCTGTGGCCATGGGAACTGGCAAACAGATTTGTGAAACAGTTTGGGGAAGGAGGGAGATTTGAACTTTTCATAACTAGTCATTGGGTAACAAGCATAAATAGCGCTTGAATCTATATCTTTCCTTTTTTGCAAGTTCCTCAACTATTAGACTGTGTCTTTCATGTTCTCTTTATGGACCACTGAAAATCTTTCTTTCCTTCTCCTTTTCCTTCCTTATGGAAAATGGTTTGTAAGGACATGGCTAGAGGACAAGGTATAGGGTTGAAGTTCTTCAGGTGAGGGGAATAACAAAGCTTGGCCCTGTTGTGTCCTTGTGGTTTAGTTGGCTAATGGAAAACAGACACTACTGCAATTATTTTTCCTTATTGAACAAGAGTGGTGACTACCACTGATTTATGTGCAGAATGTCCATGTGTGCAGTTTTGGGGCTGGCCATCGCTCTAGTGAGGGTGTGGTCCAGCAAAGTGCTGGCTTAAGAAAGTTTTTTCCTTCTCCGTACTAGTTTGTTGCTTTTTCAGTTCTATCAGCATAACTCTGTGTGAGGTTATAATGAAAATCAAATCCCTGATATCATGTAATTTTTCAAAATCATTATTACTGGGGTTGATTTGAGGAATCTGGGTTAAAATATGGTTCAACCAAAAAAAAAAAAGAAACAAACCAACCTGTATCAAGCTAATTGAGGATGTGATAAATTGTTATAGGAAAGAAGAATTTCCTAACCATTTTCATGTTGAACAGCACCCTGTTCTTCTCGCTTCCCTTTCTTTTGCAGGGTTGCTGGGTTAAGAGTTGTTTTCCTTGAGTATTTCTTGCTCATTCACTGTGAGAATGCCACCCAGTTTTGCCAACATAATGTTTTTTATGGTTACACAGCTATATTTTTCACATACATGAGTTCCTTGATTCAGTTTCCCATATGTCCGCAAAGGATACTTGTTCCAGCTTGTCAGAGGGCCAGTGGCGGAGCAGAACAAGTGACTCACAGGGGTGAGAGGCAGTTGACGCAGCTTAAATAAATGGCTAACCACAGCTTCAGAGAGCACATTTAAGATAAAGTTCTCCAAGAGAAATAGGTGGGCAGATATCTCATTTCTGATCCATTACTAGACTTAGGTTTGCATTAAGTGCCATATTGCTTGGCCTTTTTAGCTATCTGGGCACATGCAGGGAAGAAAAAAAAAAAAAAAAACAAACCCAAACAAACAAACATAAAGTTTACAGAACATTTTCTGATGAAAATTTAGTCTTTGATTTCGAGGAGCTCTGTCTTGAAGTTAACCTCCTGGGCTAAGGACTGAACTAATTAGCCCTGAGTGTGCTGCCTGAGTTCATGACATCTTTGTGAAAGCAGAAGTCTGGATGCAGATCTTGTGAATTCATGTCCATCCAAATATTATGGTAGTTCCAGAGTATGTTATGAATTGCCTGCATTGTGGAAAAGTAAGTAGTAGTCAGTTAAAGAACTGTGGACAAGAGAAGGTGCTTCCCTCAGTGTATATAATTAGGATTCATCTCCTTTATGTCCTAGGCCCATGCATTCCTTTTACATTTTCTCTGTTCCTCTTTTCTCCCAAGCTGCGGTGTGTATGGACAGGAATATTTTTTTCTCCCCATCCACCCTTGCTTTTCCCCTCTGTTGGCTTCTGCTGTGCTAGATCTCTCTTAACACACATAAGACCTCATGCAGTAGGAATGGTCTTATATTGATGTGTTTCTTGACAGTTGGTTCTTTTTTTTTCCCCTGCATGCCCTCCCTCTTTTACTGGCTCCATATATCCTGAGGTTTGTTCTAGCCACCTTAGGCTATATGTGTCAGGGAGAGGTTTGATTCCTTATCGCATCCTCCCATTGCTTTTTCAGTTTGCAGGGTCTTGGTAGATGTCTGATCTTCCTTAACCATCTGCTGATGTTATAGGTATGATTACTGGATTGATCTTTGTCTGTTAGTTGAAGAGTACAACCTTAAATGACCATACCTTTTTCACTTAGGTTTAGAGGAAGAGAGAAAGTATGAATATGAAGAGAAATAAAATAGCAAGGGTATATATATTAAATCCTGTGTATCAATTTTAAATAGAATTGCTGCACCTTAATTTTGTGTAAACTAAGATTTCTGTTACTGTCTTCAACAGAACCTCCAACAGCAGTCATACCTTATCATCTTCTCAAACTATGGAGCCCTGTACCTCAGATGAATTTTTTCAGGCTCTCAACCACGCTGAACAGACTTTTAAAAAGATGGAGAATTATCTGAGACACAAACAGCTATGTGATGTGGTGTTAGTTGCTGGTGATCGTAGGATTCCAGCTCACAGGTAAGTTTATTATAATTTGAAGTAACTTCATATTCGTTTACAAATGCACCTTCAAAGTATATCCTGTGTTTTGTTTAAAAAAGATCAGAACATCCTGAACGCTTTAGAATACTTTAAACATGCTTATGTTTTTTAACATTTATTTGGAAACGAAAAGTTAGTTTCTGTCTGTTGTATGCAATACAGCATCAAAAATAATTGTGATGTTTTCACATTCTACTTTTTGTCTTCAAACATATAGTAAGATATTTCCATAACAACATAAAAACCCCAGAAGTCCCAAATGCACCCTCAGAATATTATCAGTAGTGGTTTCTGTACCACAGAATGATGTAAAAAAAGTCTTAATTTTTTCTTTGTATTAACAATAAAGTTGTTGGAGTCACAATTAGCAATAAAGACAGTCTTCTGTCCACATAAAGTTTTTTGCTCCATAGTAAGACGTGTCCTTTGATAGACTACTGAACACTGACAGTAAGTTTTAGAGGGCTGAATTAAATCAAATGTTACCCGGTCATCTGTGTACTTAACAGATCATATGGCATGCTAGGAAAATATCAAAGATTGTGAAACAGAAGTATGAATAACTGAAGCATGTAACAGTATTTAGTGCACAATATTAATAGCTCAAATAGGAACCTAGGTATAGTTAAGCTGTGGTTTCGTAAGATTAGGTCTACAACAGACATAGCAGCCTAAAGCATTCTTGTTTTCCGTTCCTCATTCCTACCCCCACAGTGAAACTACAACTTAATACTGTAATACTAATAAAAAAGTGGGAAGAGGTTGCCCTTTTAGGTTTGGTATTTTTCTTAAAAAGCCAGATCTCTGCTTTTATTGAGATATCCACACTGTTGTGTTGACACAACTGAGGGAATGACAGCATGGGGATGGGAACTGACTTGAGGAGCAGGGAGGCAGTTATACTATAACTTGCTATTGCTCTCTGAGACTTCATTTTATGAAACTCCATTTTGAAACAGTCAAGACTGTCCCTGATTTTTCCAAGTTGATTTAAGCGTATCTTGCTGCAGTTACTGCTAAAATGGGTGGTCCTGCTCTCCACCCAACCCCTGATCTGAATTCCTTTGTAAACACTTAGAGCCACGTAGCTACGGATGATGATGAATCATTTTTGGGGAGACAGTAGGGTGAGCCAGATGATTTGGCTCTTCCTGTGGCCACAGAGTTGCTTAAGATCAGTCTTCAGTTTGTTCAAATTAGTTGCAGAACTTCATCGTCCCTGTTGAAAGAGTGAATCAGATGAAAACAGGGAATGCACAGACCCATAGTGGATTTGCACTTGCTGAAGTAATTTAGAAGTCAAAGAGGTTTGTAGTGCTGTGAACAGGAAAAATTGTTATTATAATAAGGAAATGATTTTACTTCCTAATGTGGCCAAGGTAGCACCTTTGCAGTATACAGTTCTGGGGTATGGTTTATGTAATAGTTAAAAACTGTAGAAAGGGTGCAGAGGACAGCTGCGAATATCTTGTAAGGACTGGAAGTTGTTTTGTTTTTGTTTTTGTTTTTTACAACAAGATAAAGACAACATTTTATATACTAAAAAGTTCTTTAATGTGGTTCATGTCTGTTTCTCATTTAGAGAACTGACTTTGCTCCTCCAGTTTCTGCTATGGTATCTATCTCTGTAGTGCATGAGGCATATGTTACCACCTGTTATTTGCTCTGGTCTTCTCAGCAGGAGAAACATTTTGCTGCAGTTGGTATATTGTGTTTTAAATATGCATGAAAGTTACGGCCAAAGAAGCGTACCTCGTGGTTGTAGCAGGAGGTGGGAGGCTTATAATTGTCCTTAGTTCACTTTATAATGTTGGAACAACTTAGAAGCTTTGCCTTTTGTACAGTAAGTTCTTTCTCTTACTGCTTTGTTTTCACAGAGAAACAAAGCAATAACTACAGTTTTCATCTCAGTCCATTCAAAGTACTTCACTGAAAACTGAACTTTTCTTTACTGGGAAAGATAAAGATGGAAATCTTAAATTTGGTTCAGAATTTTATAGAAACTCAGTAAGAAGACTGGCTCTATGTACTTGGAGGAGCCTCTAAGAAAAAAAATCTGTGGGATTTTTTTGCTGCCTGCATCCAAGTTCTGACTTCTTTAGTATTGACTGCAGGCTGGAGCATTCAGTGATTTCAGAACACTAGTGATTATTTTATCTTAATAAGCAACAAAAGATGTATTAAGTAGATATTAGCTTAATGCATTGGCATGCTAAGATGTGTAAGAAAATAGAAAGTTCACTTAAACTGGACAGCTTTTTTTTCCCCTTTTTTTCTTAAGAAATATAAAAGGGGTTTTCTTAATGTGTGGTCACATAGAATTTGTAAGAAAATAAATTTTTCATTATTATTAATCATGCTCATATATAGAGAGGAGTTTTTGGATTTTTTGTTTTGAACCCGATATTTTTGATAGTTCCTGTCTTTTTTTCTTAATTCTCAGTTTTCAGTTTCAATAACACTTGAATGTTCTGAGGTGTATGATGCATGTTTTTAGAGAAAAGAGCAGTGAGTTTGGTGTCTGGAATAGTAATAGGCACTGGTAATGACTGTAAAATTTTGAAGCATTGTGGTTTGTATCTATTCAAATAATTCAGGCTATTAGTCTACTACAAATAAGAGTGTCATGATTTTTCTGAATATGGCATTCTCTGTTATTCTAAGAATATTTATCTTCTCATTCCATGCTGAAATTAAAGGTAAGAACCTATTTAGGAGATCAAGAAGCAGGTAGGAAAGGGGACAGTTCTCCAGAAGGAAAAAATGCATTATATTCCACTCCCTTTAGCCTACAGTTCTATAAAGAAATTTTGCCAGACTTTTAGTTAAATTTAATTAAGTTTTTAATATCAGATTTTTTAGCAAGAAGGACAAATATGATGGGGAAAGTCTTCTGTGGATTTTTCAGTTATACAATGTGAAGCAGCTAATACTTTAATATAATCTGTATGTAGGAATGCAGTTTCATTTTAGACAATTCAGAAAAAGGTTGAAAGAACAATCAGTTCCTAGCTATGACATTAAAAGATCAATGAACAAGGGGGTGTTAAATGGCATGAGTAAAATAGTAATTGTTTTTTATTGACTAGTGGGAAAAACACAGGACAAGAAAAGGCCATTTGGCTGGAAGTTTGCGTTTGTTTTCTTTCATGCTAGCTCAGTGTCACCTTGATGCATTGTCACTGTATCTTTAATCCCCTTTCTTTGAAAGAACTTTTTTTCTAAATTTGTTGAATTAAGAGAAAAGTGTGGATACTTCTTCTAAGACTTTCATTGTAAACATCCTTCTCAGCTGAAATTATTACAAAATTATTATCGGTATAATTTATACTTTGGCATGTTACTTGGATTAATCTACTCCTGGGCTGCACATCTTGTTTTGGCATATGCAAGTCACTCTCTGGAAAGCACTTAACACTGTGAAGCATGTATACCTTCTCAAGATTCCGAACATAAGTTTCCAAATATAGTAAATGGATTGCATTTTAAATTTCTAATAATTTCTTCTGGAGGACTTTGAGACTGGATATTACAGGGAGAAATTTGCTGATATCAAACAGCTGGTAGAAAGTTATTTTCTGGAGCCTCAGATTATTATTTGGCATTTCTTCAACAGTTCTTGCTAAGATAGATCCAGTCATTGTCTAAATAATAGTGCAACTAACTAAACCCGTTGCACTGTTGGAGGAAGAAAAGAAAAAGTTAAAAAACCAAAACCCAAACTGTGTTAAGATTAGGTTTTAGGTTCTGTTTCCCATCGCAGACACCTTTCTTTTTCAAGCTCTGCTCTGTGTAGAAGTTCAAGTCAGTATTGCCAGAGGTGAATATTTTGTTTGTTTTGCCTTTTTTTAAAATTCTGAATTGGACCTGCAGAGATATTTGGGTTGTTCAACTCTGTCCATCTACATACTTTCTCTTCCAGTGAGAACCTCTATTTTATACATAGAAATCTGATATTGTAATCTCATTGTAGCATCAAAAGCAGTTGCAGAAACTCTCCCTTGATGCTTAGATGAATGTACTCCTTAACTAAACTACAGATCTCTAGGAGGCAGTATTTTCATTCAACTGCAGGTGTCATAAAACCTGAGGTTAAAATGCCTCAAAGTGATGCCTGGGCACTACCTTGAATGTTCTAATTTTTCTCAGCAAGTCAGGCAGAGAATACATCTCATATTTCAAGAATGATGTATTCTTTTGAAGAACAGAACCTTATTTCTCATTACAAAACTTTACTTCATACAAGATGTTAAAATTAATCTTTTCCCTATACACTCTTAACACAACACTGTCACTCTCTCACCTCGGCAACTAGAAAAAATGGATTGCCCTGCTGTAGGCCTAATGAAATGGTCAATGGTCAGAAAATTAGCAAGAAAAAAGTAGTTTAAATTAGTCAACAATTTATTGTTTTGCAGTTAATTAACTACGAGTTCTTTGTAGTTCATGACTTTGTGTACATATCTTCAAATCCTCTCCATTAATACATATTTAGACTTACTCCTAAACACTGATGTTCACCTTTTCAATTAATTTTACTCTGGTTTGTGGTTCCTGACCTCTGTCATCTTAACAAGCCACTAAATGATTCATCAGAGAATAAACTGACATTTTGTGAAACATTAGATTCATTGAATGTATGCAGATGGCCTGTGTAGTGTATTTGCAGTAGGCTTGATTCCTGGGCTTGCTGTTTGTATAGCTCAGTACATATGCAAGTGTATTTATATTTGAATTCCCTGTGAGCAAGTCACCAGTGAACTGCTGCAGCACAAAAATTCATCCAAACCACAAGGCTGTTCCTGGAGGTCTCTTAGGGAAGAGACCAGCAGCCCTTATGAATTGTTATGGTAGCTTTCATACAACAGAACTATGGGTTGAATATTCTTCCTCCACATGATTTCCTTTCTCTTTCACCCTAGTCCTGTGAACACATACCGAGACATCAAAATTCTTGCACATTTTGTGGAGTGGCATTGTTATATATACTCAGTGTTTTACTCTCAGTAATCCAAAGAAATGTCAGTTGCACAGTAACATGTTTACTTAGTATCTAAAAAGATGCAAGAGTTGTTAACACAAGGCTACATACATACACACAAGAGATCATTTTGTCTGTACCATCTCCATATTTACTGTGCCTAGTTCTGTTATTAGCATTAGTAAATGAACGCATGTGTGCACTAACAGTAAAAGCATTTTAAAGCACCCTGAAAAGGACTAGTAAGTCATTCTTTCACATTTAAAACGGTAACTGGCAGAATATAAATGGAAGTCAAGTCAGGTTTTTTTATTTCCATAATGTATATTTATATCCCATTTCCATTTTTTGTGTTTTTGTGGGTTGTTTCTATATTGACCATTAAAAGTTATTGAGCTTTGAAAGGGTAATTCATTTACTTCAGCAGCAAATGTAGATTCAGTAACTACTTCATTATTCATAGAGGGGAACTAGAGCATGGAGCAGTTTGTCAATTTTAAAATGTTTTTCTCAGTACAGAGTTTCTTCAAAGGGCAAAGTAATGAATCATAAAATAACAGACATCAGGTTGACCAAGGTTTTTTTCTTTTCCTCTCTTTGGTGCTCTCCTTTTCTCCTGCACAATGTACTCAGATTGGTTCTCTCCTCCGTTTCGGACTACTTTGCGGCAATGTTCACTAATGACGTAAGGGAAGCAAGACAGGAAGAAATCAAGATGGAAGGTGTGGAGCCAAATGCATTGTGGGCTCTTGTTCAATATGCATATACAGGTAATTAGAATGAAAATGGGAATTTCATTTAATGAGTTGTCCTCCTGTGAGCATTATATATTCCATTGCTAGATGCTCTTTAGAAATTATTATTCACACTATTTAATTCCTTATAAATAAGTAAAAAGAAATCATCATCATCTGTTACCTGAGGCAACGTGGTAGAATATAGTTTCTCTGATAATACTGTGTTGTGTTAGTTAACAAATTATGTGAATGGCTTAAATGTATCATGACTGAGAAAAAGGGAATCTTATTAGGATTCCCTTTCCTTACATCATTATAGGTACTAATTTTGAAAAGCTGGTTATCTGTTGCTGACAGTTACGTTTGCTAAGCCTTGTATTCTGTCATATAATCTGTAAATAATGCTATTTCATCTGGGTTTTAGGGAATTCAACAAATTATAAGAGCAAAATTATACAATCTACTTTTCAATGTTATTAGGTCGCCTTGAATTGAAAGAAGATAATATTGAGTGCCTGTTGTCTACAGCTTGCCTTCTCCAGCTCTCTCAGGTTGTAGAAGCTTGCTGTAAATTCCTGATGAAGCAGCTTCACCCATCCAATTGCCTTGGAATCCGATCTTTTGCTGATGCACAGGGTTGCACTGACTTGCACAAGGTGGCTCACAATTACACTATGGTATGTTGTTATTTTAAGTCTCATCTACTTTATTTAATAAGGAAAATACAGAATGTTTGCCTGAATAAAATACTAATGTTTTTCTCACAGAAAGCCTTGATAATTTTCCAAGCAAGAATGCACATATGCTCCCATGATGAGAAATGACAAAATAACTATAGAGTTGTGGGTCTAGAGTTGGAAGAAAGTAGGCAAGCATTAATGGTTCCCTGTAACAGTAATGAGATTGTGTGATATGCAGTCAATAAAATCATTCAGAAGCTTGTTCTTATGTCTGTCAGTCAAAAACTACAAACTTAGCAGTGGGCAAGCTGCCATCATCTAGGCCAAAATAACACATTACTAAGTGAAACTGTAGAATTTTTGTTTTGTAATAAGCCAGGGTAATCAGGTTCTAAATTATATGTGGGGTATGAATGTGGGCATTCATCAATATAGAATCTACATTATCCTTAATTTCTTAGTAATGGGATGTCAGGATGACATCAAACAATTTCATCTTATTCTAGGCAATATGTGGCCAAATGCAAATTTGCCAATGATATTTTCAGGGTTACTTTATAGAAAGACTCATCTGCCAACTTAATTAAACTTCATCTAATAGTCATCCTTTTATTTTAATGTAAAATGTTTTTCTTTTCTTTCTCACAAGCATATTTTAGTAATGTTATCAGCAGAAGAAGGCAGGAGAATTATCTCTGAGGCAAGTCAGTTCATCTGTTCTTTGCAGTTCTGTGAGGCATTTTTCTGTCGTCTTGATGAAATTTCACCCGTGTAAGCTCTTGGGACCTGAATGAGGGCATGTAGATAGTGCATGTGAGGCGTGGGAATGAAGATAATACTTAATTTGCTTGTGTGGCATGGCATTGCATTGCCATTAAGTTATTGGCTTAGATCCAAGAGGTATAATTTCTGTCTTGTAGTTACCGTGAGAAATCCATGGCTTTTGCTGTTGCTGCCTTAGCTTTTGCTGGTTTAAAAACTTCTTTTTATTATTTTTTTTTCCTTGGCTTAAAATAGTTTAGTATATATCTTTAAAATAGCTCTTTTTTTTTTGTTTTGTATGATATAATGTTCTTCCTCAGTGAGCGGATCTCTGATATGTATTTAAAATCATGTACATGCTGGAATTGACCAAAACAGGTTAATAAATAGTGTACAGATTGTAATTTAAATATTTATTTTCTCTATCTTCATCATTGCTCAAGCAAAAATAAGGAGACTGCAATTAGGTAGAAGTGTTGTATGCCTTTGAGGAATATTAGCATTAATGTTGAGCGAGACAGTGATACAAAAATTATGCATAAAGAGAACCTCCCTCCTGTGACCTATTTATTCTTTTTCAGATTAAGTGTATATTTTGGTCTGTGCTATTGTCGTGTCCCTTATAAGTGGACTGCCAAGATCAGAACGGTAATAAATGTTAGGCAGATGCATCTTTAAAGATTAATTATTATAGTCTTACTATTTGTGCTGGCGTTTCATGACTTTATGGCAGAAAGGGGCTGTGAACTCTCTAAAAACCATTATTTTACAGCACCTATCTTTCTTTTGTTCAGACCACAGGAAGATAGCTGTATGCCTTTTGGCCATTGTTCATTTCAGTGGCAAAATTGTTGCTTTTTAAGGCTTCAACGTGGGTGAAATTTATATTAGGTGGGTTTTAAAAAGCCATTTTCAAAACTAATTAGTTGTGCTAGATGGATTCTTCCCAAGGCCTCTTTTAATGTTGTTTAGTTCCAACGGAGACATGAAATTGAATTTTAGTAATAATGAGTAATAGAGAAGCGGCTTCTTTAGTTTGAAATGAATGTTGCTATGGAAACTGCATAGAAATGTATAGTCCAATTGAATCTTCAATTAAAATAAATCCCGAAGTAATTTCATTTGTTTAAAAGCTGTTTGAAAGAAGAAAATGTTCAACAGTAGTAAGTGCTAGCCACTTGATGCTTCTTCCATTAATAACTATTAGAGCATAAGGGTTAAGCACACCTGTAGTACCTGAAAATTCTGTTAAAGAATTATTTTTATGCTGCACTGGGCAGCACAGAGCAATGGGGGATTATACTGAGTATATACTTATGTCTTTTCCATATAATTTTGGTTCTTTTAAAGTACTTGAAGTAGAAGGTAATGCATAATATAAAATACTTAAATTTTAATAGATAAACATTATTTTCTATGAGTTTGTCCTTGACAGCAAAAAAAGAGATTGCCATATAACTTCTTCTACAATTAAAATAACTTCTCGGTTTTAAGGGTTTTTGTGACACATGCTATAATTTGAAAAACATCTCACTTGCTTCCTTAAAATAGTTCTTTACAGGGAGACTAGAAATTCAGTTGAAATGAGCATGTGGTTAAACTGAAGGACCAATCAGTGAGTTATCCCAGTAGGCCTTCCTCTGTTAACAGGCCTGCTCTGTCTGAATAATGTTCATTATTGTCATTGGAAAGCATGATTTTATGTAATGATTTTAATCGCATAATACAGTGTGATTAAAAAAATAAATCATAGAATCATAGAATGGTTTGGGCTGGAAGGGACCTTAAAGATCATTGAGTTCCCACCCCCCTGCCATGGGCAGGGACACCCTCCACTAGACCAGGTTGCTCAAAGCCTCATCCAGCCTGGCCTTGAACATCTCCAGGGATGGGGCATCCACAACTTCTCTGGGCAACCTGTTCCAGTGTCTCACCACCCTCACAGTGAAAAATTTCTTCCTAATGTCTAGTCTAAATCTACCCTCTTTCAGCTTATACCCGTTACCCCTTGTCCTGTCACTACACTCCCTGATAAGGAGTGCCTCCCCATCTCTCCTGTAGGACCCTTCAGGTACTGGAAGGCTGCTATTAAGTCTCCTCGGAGCCTTCTCCAGGCTGAACAACCCCAGCTCTCTCAGCCTGTCCTCATAGGGGAGGTGCTCCAGCCCTCTGATTAATTTCGTGGCTCAATGAATAAGAAGGATTTGAATTCTGTACTTCATATTAAAGATGTGGATGTATGTTATGGTAACAGGACTTAAGTGTTGCATTACTTTATTGCTTACTGTGTTGACAATTGATAAGTTGTTTCTTCAGAGAGTAATTTTAAAGGTTATCATCAAAACAAGTCAATTTTTTTACACTGCAAACTAAAACCTGAAAAATCCTCAGAGTGCATGAGGTGAAACATGAAATAAACTGAAGTGATCAGTTGTGGATTTAACGCTGTTGTGAAGAGCAACTCTGATTTTTTTGCATGAGGGATTTAAAATATAGTTGACAGAAATGTGAGATGTATCTGGGTAAAGGTATCCTTTGTACAAAGGTTATCCTGGTTTGCTATAGTTTATATACAGTATTGGGGTCATACAGTTACAAATTTAGGAATTTTTTTAGGTTGACCAGTAGTTTATCTGTTCGCTTTAATTCATAAAGCCTTTTCATGCAAAGTGCCTTCTGTTCATTTTTCTTCCTGTCTTCGCAAAGTCAAAAGAAACACCTCTTTTGTCATCTTGTTTGTTTGAAGACGTTGATAGTGTACCTTGAATTAAAACCAATAGCTCCTCTTCCACAAATAACTAAACCAAAGGGAAGTTGGGGAAAAGCTTGCCTTTGTTATTTCCAGAACATTAAATATCTATGATGAGTAGTGAGGTGTTCTTAGGTTAAGTGTCAGTAGCTTCTTCAGGAGCCAGATTTTAACTTTCTTAATTACAAAAAAAAAAGCATACATTCTAAACATCACACATGATAGTGCGTGAGTCATTGCCTGTATAGATAGCTTTGTTGTCTTTGTTGCTCAGCTTTCCACGCTTAAAGCAGACTGAAAAGTCATGTTGATTTTCATCAGAAGTCTTCAGAAATATGTGAGCAGTGATCAAATGTTACAAGATTCAGATAAAGTTAATCTTGGAGTTTGCATGAGTTATGAGTCAGCCAATGGCTATAAGAAGAAAAACTTGGAGAGGATGGAGCAGCAGATTGAGGCTGAGACTAGAAGCTAGGAATTTTGCAGAAGAATAGATGTGGGACACTTAGACTTGCTTTCTCTTGTAAGGCAGGAGTTGGGTAAAAATCATTTCAGTATGGAGTTTATGATTGGGGAGGGGGAGCAAAGAGGTATAATATGTCTTTTTTTCTTGTAACAGCCAGGACAGTTTAGTTTTTGGTAGGGAGGAGCATAAAAAGGGGAGAAATTTCAGTATTTTTTTTTGTCCCCAAAGGGCCATACCTGAAGATTGTGTTAGTGCCTAAAACAAGGATTTTATATTCTTGCACCTGAAATTGCAGTCCAAAGCATCCTGCTCAGTATTAATCTGATTTTGAAGATACTCGTTCACTTCTTTTCACCTATGAAAACACAAGATATTTCTGTCTTTCAAGTTCCCTAAGTTCTGTCTAGCACAATAGATCAGTACTACCTTGGCAAGACTAAATAGGTTCGTGCATGCTGCCCAGCCTGTTTTGGAATCCAGAAACTATGCAGAGAGGAGTCAAGCTACAAAAGCTGTAATCTAAACAAACCCTGGGCACACTGAAATCATTAGGCTGGTTTATTGCTTAACGCAGCAGTCAAAGCTGACTAAAAGTAAAGTAGATGCTATCTGACATCCATCAGACTATTAATAGTTTACCAGGAAGTCAGATAGCTCAGTACTTGGCAAATTCATGCCTCAGTTGACCAGCTGACTGAAGCAGCCAGTAGACAAAATTACATTCCCTGTTTGTTCTCATTCAGATCCTGTGAGTCAAGCACCTCTTGCTTTTCAGCTGCCCAGGTTCAGAGTTTAAACAGAGCTCTCTGGTTAGAGCTGCCTGCTGGGCTACCGCAGTGTACCGTCCTTGCCAGCCTGCAGGTGTTCTGATGCTCTCTGATGTTCTAATCCTTACAACACTGCGTAGACGGAGACTAACCATCTCGCTGGGCCTCACTGCGGGGATTAAGTACTGCTTAGAAATAAGCATCGCGATATCATATCTGTTAGGTACTCCTAATTTTTATTTGCTTTGTATCAAGTCTAAGGCAGAGCTCAGGCTAAGAATATCAGTATTATTCACTCTGCAGTTGCTGAAGGGTGAATTTAAGGTTATGATGTGAATGAGCAATGCACAGCATTGAGCAAGGGGACTGTGCATCCCTGTTTTAGCTAGTGCATAAACCTCAGGCTACTCATTTGATAAAGTTTCCAAGCTCTTTGAGGAGCTAATTTTGGGGGTGGGAAACTTTTTTTTCTTTTTTACTTTCAAGACCAGAAAGCAAGTGACTGAAACTGCAGACTGTTTGTTCTCTGAAATATCCTGTTCTTCCACCGAGTTCCCATAAGAAGAAGGAAAGAAAAGCCTAATGAGGAGGTTAAGAATACTAGGAGATACACAGGCTCTTCCTTTTTGTCTTCATAATCTCTGTCTGTAGAGGAAGACAAATTGTCAGATTCTGATTTAAAAAAAGCGCCAGACATAGGCCAAAGAGTGGCTGTATTCCCAGTGGAATGCTTTGATGCTATGCTCAAAAAGAGTCTCTTCTTCCCTTAAAAATAGAATGGGAGCAAGAGGAAGTTGAACTTGTTCCCATCAGAAAGCAATCTGCAAGCAACAAAAAGGAAAATCAGGCATTTTACACACAACAGCTGTTGAAGTGATGAAATCCAGCTGGAAAAAAAGCTTTCCAAAGAGGATCCCTGACTGACTTATGCAAGCTCAGCTTGTCCTTGCCTTCAGAGACAAAGGAAACTTTCCATGCAGGTGCATTCCCCTTCCTCTTCCTGTGATCTGGATAGACAATATGGAAAGTTTAAGGTAGTAAGTGTTGGTTTTTCTCTTTGTCAGTGCTTACTGCCCGTTTATTCAGCAAAACTAAAAGTACAGCTCTGGCTTGCATACCCGGTAGGACACAGGATTACCAACAGCAAGAAAAAAAAAAAGGCAGCGGAAAAAATGACCTCGATGGAATCTGAATTTCTGTGAACTGCATGTTTAAACTCTGGAAATAGTTTTTATCGTTTTTTCAGCTTCAGTTTTACTCCCAAGCATTCAATATCAGAGTGAAATACATAGAAGTGCTACTGAATATTGTTACAGTCTTTTCACTTTTAATTCCTATCTTTGCTCATTTTTTTAACTTTCATTTTGGAATACAGAGAGTGAAATGAATTAAAGAGGAAAGGAAAATTTTATCTCCCTTCTAATCTACTACAGTTTTCACTTGGAAGCACTACTTTGGTGTAGCCAATTTGATCTCTCTCTAGTAGGAAAGCTTTTCACATATTATATCTAAAAATTTCCTTTCCAAATTCTATCCAGGAATATAGTTGTTATGTGTACAGATAACACTTTTGATTCTTTTTCTAATTTCAACTCCAGACTTACCTGTAGAGTGGAGTCACTTTGACCTTTCCCCTTAGACATCTTGTTGCTATCTTATGTGTGTGTAGCTTTCATGTAACATGGACTGGTTTACTCTGTATAGTTTTTCCTCTTTGCTGAGAATTCTTTAGTTAATATTTTTGGAGTACTGAGGTATAACTTTTAAATTATTAGATAAAGCAATAAAAAGGAAGAAGTGTTACCTTTTTTGCTTCATTGTCATGTTCTTTGCATATGCAATGCCAAACTGTACTGTATGTTTTTGTTGCCATTTTATATGCTAAATTTGTACCTGTTTTGTAGTGCAGGTCCTGCTTCTGCTCCCAAGTTCCTCCCTGTTTTGACCTAAAAATCCTAATTTTTTTTCCCAACATGTATGTGCTTCTGATTCAGATATTTTTTCATTAGTGTGGAATTCTTTCTTTTTAAATAATTTTTAAAAATCCTAAGGAAGGCTAATTTCGATACTGGTCCCAGTTAGACTTCCCTGTCCGTGGATCTAAGGCACTTGATCCTCCAGGTGTTTTGGAGGTACATGTGAAGGCAAAGCAAAACCAGCATCCCGTTGGCTAGCTATCTAGCAATCAGCAGTGCATTTACTAAGTTGATTGTGATACTGGTTTATTTTCATGAAGTTAGTCACAGTTTGGCATATGACGTTAACTGGGTTTTGAGCTACCAAAATCATAGAATCATAGAATCATTAAGGTTGGAAAAGACCTCAGGGATCATCAAGTCCAACCCAGCACCACCTAACTCACTAAACCATGTATCTGTATCTACACGTTTCTTGAACACCTCCGGGGATGGTGACTCCACCACTTCCCTGGGCAGCCTGTTCCAATGGCTGATCACTCTTCCAGCAAAGAAGTTTTTCCTAATATCCAGCCTAAACCTTCCCTGGTGTAACTTGAGGCCATTTCCTCTTGTCCTATCACTTGTTACTTTAGAGAAGAGGCCAGCACCCACCTCACTACAACCTCCTTTTAGGTAGTTGTAGAGAGTGATATATATATATAAAATATAAGAATGTGTTGTGATTCATAGACTGCTGGAACTTTTCTTTCCTTTGCTGCCTTGTAAAGGTGTATGGGGAAACAGGATAGACATGATCTCACCCTTTTCTGTTACATTGTTTTCCCACTGTAAGTTCATAGTACTGATCGCGTTTCTATATACTTTCCTGCTATTTCTGCCTACGTTCCTGAGAATTCTTACAGAATATTCTGCAAGTCCTAGTATTACGAAGTAACAGGATATCAATGTCAGAAATGTTACGTATTGTGACTTTCCTATTTTGAAGTAAGGATTTGTTGCTGGAAGTGACAAGGAAAGTTAGAAAATTGAATCCTATCAAAGTAAATATTGTTAATAAAGCAAGGCATGTACAATATTGTGGGTTCTTTGTATGTTTGTGCTCCCCAGTCAATCAGATCAGCTGTATAAAACAGTAAAATAAACTTAAAATAATCAATTTAAAATCAACAATAAAATTGTTAGTGTTGTTTATTTCCTCTGAAAACTTAATGCCATAGTTTAATCTCGAAAGAATGAAAACAGTTACAGATGTGCCCAGTAGCTGTAGCATGTTGTGCTCTTTGCTTGAGTAAGTATCTTGGATTGTATTCTGCATTGTCAACAGGAACAAACTGTACCTTTTTTTAAACTATACTTCAGCAAATATTTCTGCAATTTGCAGCACCAAGATAGTAATCCCCACAGCCCATTGCTGTCCTTGCACTCCCCCCTCAGTTGTTTCAGCACATCTGTCTGTGGGACTGAATGATACAGTTGGGGAAATGATCAGGGGTCAAAATAACTCAGTACCTTTTTTTTTCTTTTTTTACAGTTCTTCAGTAGTATTTACTGGCACAACC